CCCACACGCACACGCACACCCACACCCACACCCACACCCACACCCACACGCACACGCACACGCACACGCACACGCCCACGCCCACGCCCACGCCCACGCCCACGCCCACGCCCACGCCCACGCGCACGCACACCCACACACACACACACACACACACACACACAAACGTACGTACACTAACCTGCGCATCGACACGTTCACTGGTTCTCACAGATGCAGGCCAACGTAGATGATGTTTTCGCAATCGTTGCCAGGACGTCCATGCCGAAAGGGTAGCGGCGGACATCAATCTGGTAGCCAATGCTCTGGTGACCCATCTGGAAACCGTAGAGGCACAAAAGGATCTGGTGGCCAGCGCTCTCGTGACCCACCTGGAAGCCGTGGACGCGCGGAAAGCTGCCGAGGCCGGGGCACAGCCACCTCGCAGGATGGTGCCGGTCTCCAGGTTGAGGCACAATTGTTAGAGGATGTTAGAGCTACGCCTTGTGAATCGATATGCGAGTCCGGTTTGTCAATGGCCGGTATTGTGTTGAAAACCTGTCTGAATCATGAAGGTTTCTTCCCGAAGATGCAGATTGCTTTCTTGTCTCATGTGGTCTTCCGAAGCCCCTACTATCGCCTTGTATCGCACAGTCCGGAAAGTCCGTGAAGGGCGGGGCAAGTGCAAACCTTCGAAGACGCCCCGTTCATGTCTACGGCTTCCGGCCTTTGCATCGTGTGGTGTTGCTCCCCTTTCCGTTGGGGCGCTGTGAGACGGAACCACCATGCAAGTGGTAGTTGTAGATTAGAAGCCCTTGCAGGGTGCTTCGGACATTGACTTGCAGGAGGCCGTGATACAAGAACACGAGGATGCACAAGTCCACTTAGATCAACCCACTTGAACCTCACTGGTCCTATGGCCCGCGAAGGACGCCGCCACGAAGATAGTGGCGAGTGCCCTGGCTGGCCTGCTTGGCACTTTTTCCGCACCGTGGCGACATTATGCGTGTCAGAGCCCTGCTCTCCGGCACCGCATAGCAGTAAGTCTTCACAAGCCTTCGCACATTCTGTGGCCGCAGTGGATCCAAGGACGAATCTTCAAGGAGAGAAAGCATCCCAGAGCACGAGGCCAGACACATTCTACATGTTAGATCATGTTTGTACATGTGCCATGTCTGTGTGGAAGCTCTCGGGCAATGCCGTTCGATAATCTAATCCGCCATGCAGCCAAACATACGAATCCCAAGAACCGGTGCAGCATTGTGTCACATGCTTGTGTCACATGCTTTTGCATGGGTGCCTTTGATGAAGTGTGTCTAAGGTTTCATGTGTTTACACTTGCGCACAAGTATGTCCCCTTATGCATGCATGCATGCATGCATGCATGCATGCATGCATGTATGGATGCATGTATGTATGTATGTATGTATGTATGTATGTATGTAATGTATGTAATGTATGTAATGTATGTAATGTATGTAATGTATGTAATGTATGTAATGTATGTCATGTATGTAATGTATGTAATGT